TGAAGGGGTTTTGCACAATCTTCTCTCGCTATTACTAAGTCAAGACAGGAGCACTGAGCGATTTCAGCATCCCTCACTGTGGCCATGCGCACCCAAGCCCTGAGTCTATAGATAATGGGTCCTTTGTAGGACAGCTCCCGTTGCTTTCCTTGCCCACGGCAGTCTGAAATAATGAGTCCCGCAGTAGGTCTCTGCACAAAAAGCTCTTCCTGACTTCCTAGAGCAAAAATGTTTGCCAAGTACTGCTCAGGCTGGCTCTGTTTGTCTTGCTGCAAGGTCCGAGGTAGCAGAGGCCAGAAGGGGTCAAACACCAGACTGAGCTTGTTGTGCATTTTCATTTGCTGTAGAAAACATAAATGTGCAGCTCAACAGTTTCCACTGTATCTCTGGCAATTAGGACTTGATCCAAAGCTCACTAAAGTCATTGGGAACCTTTCCATGGGCTTTAGAACAGGAGTTACATAAGTTTGTGTTGTTTAAAGGGGGTGCCCCAGGGAGGCTGAACGCATGAGCTGACTCGACAGCCACATGCCTGCTCTGCCATGTCATGCAAAAAGGCTGTTCTTGAAGTGCCCATCAAGTGTCCCGTGCAGCATCAGGCACTATTAACTCCTGAGTGAAAAAATCTTCTAATGCTGTCCTGTGCCAGGACACTGTCTCCTTGCGGAGCCTCCCAAAGTCCAAAGATAAAATAAAGAACATAAGCTGCTGAGGCCTGAATTGCTTATTTTTTCTGTTAAGGAGGGACACAGTTATGTAACTTGTGTACAAATAAAAGGGTCACAAGGAAGTTTCCAAGTGGTAGAACCTGAGGATTTCATAGTCTAGGAAAGCGAAGTACTCCTAACCCCAGACTTTTCTGAGACTCATTGAAGATGTAAACCACAGTCTTTTAAAACATTGCTGCAAAGGAACTTCTTCCTTTCCTTCACATACACAACTATACACACCATTTCCAGGCTCCTCATGTGAGTGTACAGTGGGAAGAAGCACTGCAGGGAGATCCTGTTGAGATTTGAACCATTGCACCCTGTTGTCAGGAAGAAGTTTTTATGGCTAAATGCACATCCACATCCTCTATGTACATTCTGCTGTCACTCTGCTGTGTTTCATCCTTGAGTTAATTCATTTTGTACCTAATATGCCCTTCCTGGTGCACTGTGCACTATGCAAGACCACAGTTCACACCACAGAGATGTCAGGTCAATCAGCCTTCTTATTAGGGTTGAATGGATTTAATGTAGCCATAAAATTAGGTTCTAAAAGCATGAATTTGACACATAGCATTTAAAACACAAACCAGTTTGATCTGTTATGACCCTGAGCTCCTGTACCTTAGAAATGGCCCCTTATGAAAAAACTTAATGGTGTGAGCTGACCTTTGAAAGTATTATTATTTGCTATAATGTGCTTGCATCAGTCTGTATTACTGTTGTGCCAGCAGATCATAAGGACTGCCAATTCTTACTCCAAAGGGCTCATGCTCTAAGTAAAATCAGCTCTAAGAGCCTTAGGCAACCAAATATTAAGGCAAAGACTGCAGGACTTCACTTTGAACTAAACAAGAACATTTGCTATCTTACCTGGAATATCAAAGTTTGGCAAGGAGGAATTGATAGCAACCAGAAAGTTTCCTGTCAGTGGTAGTAGAATTGAAGATAAACTGAGGCACCAGAGAACAACTGGCAGTGTACCCACCATGGTCCTTCACTTAGTACAGGTGCATTTGTGAAGCACAGACAGGGGGGGAAAGGAAAGAACATCATGGGTGCTGGATAAGTCCATTTCTGGGACAAATGCCTCCTGTGCGTGATTACAGAAATTTAGAATGTTATTTTCCCAGGCTTAAGCCAAAGTTATTGATAAAGGCAGTCCAGTATCAGGGAATTCAGTAAGAGCCCCACTTTGTAAGACTTTGCCTATCCTCAATGATAGAAAAGTAAGTGGGAGCTCTGGGCAATCAAGTGACTGCAAATCCAGACAGAGTATGCTTGGGTGATGATGCAGAGCATCTAAAAATACCAATTCCAGCTTTACTTTTGCTTTCCAGCAAATTAATTCTACTTAAAAGGGCCAACAAAACCCACTGTGATGTCCTTATCATCAGCTGTTCCTCTCTAAATATACAGCACTGTCTATTTTTACAATTATCTGCTAAGCTGAATATTTTTCCAGTAGTTAGGGGAAAAGATTAACTCTGGTGGTTACTGAAGAAATTACTGTGAGCCATCCAACCAGCAGAAAAAATATCCTAAAAAACTGTAGCTTACAGGTACACAGTGGCTCTGCAGAGGCTTTTGAAGCAAGAGTAGCAGATGAGCAAAACCTGACTGCCACAACCTGGGATAGCCAAATGTCACGGGAGTTATTGTTTATTGTCAGATAAATTACTTGTGATGTGGTATTTTCTATAAATATTTATTTGTACTTTACTATCCACCTAAAGGTACAAGATAAATGCATTTGGTTTCCCATGCCTGATGTGTGGTGACCTGCCACCACAACAGACTGCCCTAGAGAGACTATAAATGTTTACAGGGGCAAGCCTCAGATTTATCAGTATTTCAAGAAGTGGAGATGGATATTAGGTGGGTTTTCAGCAAAAGATCAGGGTTTCTAGCCCCAGGGTATGATATGCAGAAAAGCTGACAACTTCTTTATTCTTTCAGGAGTATCCTGGAGAAAAACATTAATCCAATAGTGACTGGTTTTTTGTGTGTGTGAGGTGTGAGAAGGTAGTTACACAAAGAACATCCAAAAATTTTAATAGGCAGCACAATAATTATAATCTATCATCTCATAATATCTGCCAAAGCACTTTATCTTGTGTGCTCAGAACAGCAGGCCCAAAGTTTCCTGGACCATTATCTCCACACACCAAATCCAAAATAAATCGTCTTCCTTTCCTCTTCGAATTTGTTCTGTGGCAGCAACTTGTCTTGGCAAGAAATATTAGCCATATGGACACTAGAATATCTGCTTTGACCTTGACCTCAGAATAAGTGCTGCCAAATATGTGAGGACAACTCCTGCCTTTTATTTCCAAGAGTGATGCTCCACAGGCACAGCCCAATCTGCTCTCCTGGTTGCATCTCAGTGTAGAGAATTCATGAGTTTTAGTTTGAATAGGTGTTCTGCTAAGAGCATATTGTCCATGGCTGGCTAGGAACTGGGAAGCAGTATCCCAGATGATGGTTTATTTGGCAGAGATATTTATTCCAGAAATAAAAAAAAAAAAAAAAAATCAGCGCTAATTTTAGCATCAGGCAGTGGAAAGTGCATTACTTGTAATTGGCTCTCACCATATTATTTAGTCAGTATTTTCATCTTCTGGATACTCTTCAAGTAACAGGAGGCTGCTGGGGGCAAGATGAGCTGAATTTTTTTGGTTGCAGAGCTCCGTGCTTCTCTGGTTCAGAAATGATGGGTAGTGATCACAGTAGAACATTTAACTGGGTAAGAGGAACAGATACTGCTCCTTTGCTGAGTTTCTGCTACGTGTATTGCAATGATCATGAATGGGTGTGAACAATACTCAGGATTAAGAATAAACTCATTTCATCACATTTGCATTTGCCCAACATGAAACAGAATCAGGGCCAGGAGACACCTAATCAGAGATCTTATATAATTTTCCCAAGTCCCTGTCTTTCTTTGGCCCTTAAGAGACATTCCCAAAGAGTGTAGAACTAAATGGCATTACAACACTCATGGAGAAAGCTGGCCAGGTAGGAAGGGTAGAGCAGGGGGCAGGAAGGCACTCCACAGTCCTGGTGGAAGTTGATCATCACTCAGTTTGGAGTCCTGCAGTTTTGACGAACTCATCTCCCTGATTTGTGAAGACCATGGCAATATTTTTCACCTCGACGCTGCTGGTTGAAATTCACACTAACACAGTGCTAATGGTGCCATCTGATGATGCTCAGTGGACTGTGCAAAATGGATTTATTCCATGTGCTTCCTGGTAGGCAGAGATCCACATTACACTCGACAGCTTCAACATATGGAAATGGTGACATGTGATTGATGTGGTCCCTGCAGGTCACGCTAACTCATGGCATATTAGCCCTGCATCCCGGGGAGGCTTATGCTACTCCAGCTGCCCACCTCCATTATCTGAACTAGGAATAAATGAAAGAATTGATGTTCCCAGCAGTGTGGATCTGGCACCTCGTGAAATCATGTGCAGCGCTGAGGGAGGTGGGAAGCAAAATTCACACGATTCAACCCCACAGTACACGTGAGCACAGAACAGGTTACAACCAAACTTTGGGTATGGGTGCAAAGGGCAGTTGTGTTAGATCATAATGATCACAATGTTTTGTTTTTTTTAAATGGCTGGAATAGCTGTGTTTTCATGTTAATTTTTGACATTTGGAGTGACTAGATTTTCCAAAGTTGCTAAGTAAAGCACAGCATGTATAACCCAAGTAGCCCTCTCATCAGACATCCCTTCTTGACCTAATTTTCAGCAAGGCCTAAGCAGCTGCTCTTTCAAAAAACAGATTGCTTAATGGCAGCCAAGACTGGAGGCAGCCAAATTTAGGATTTTGCGTCCAAAGGAGTGAGCAGAGTAAGGTTTCCCATAATGATATGGACATTCATTTGGACACCTCCTGGCCATGATGAAAATGAGGACGTCTGTTGTTTCTGCCCCTGAAAAGCAGGATGCTTTTTAGCTTCTCCAGGGAAATCACTTGCCTATGGCATTTTAAAGTTTCACATGAGTCAATACTGCAAGGTCAATACTACTCTTTCTTTGCCACAGAAATTCCCTGTAATCTTGCTCATCGCTCTCATAGCCATGGGGCCACCACAGCCCCTGCAGATTTGTCTTTCTCTTCCTACTTTTGCAGAGAAGCTGACTAAGTTGGATGTTAACTCTTCTGTCCTTCTGCAGAACATGGGAGGTATTCCTTCCTGCCAGATACACAAGCCATGCTGTCCCCATCCACCACTTTCTCCCCATATCTAATCCCCTTTTTGTGTTTTTTCCTCAGGTGTTTTACTGATCTTGGCACTGACAGAAGAGCTGGTGTTTTCTGTTCAGGTACTGTCTCCCACTGTCTCCTCCTCTCAGGGCTTCCCAACGAACACTACAACTATCACAGCCATGGGAACAACACCTCACCGCAAAGACCACCACACGGCAGAGCCCCTTCCCACGTCTGCTCAAGCCATGTCCCACCCCATCAGCCTGGTGGAGAAAGCCCCTTCCATCGGGCAAGAGCAAGAGAGTGGTCCTCGCATCGGCGAGAAGGAAACTTATCATTTGTACAACCAGAGTGCTTTGTACTCAGGACGGTCTCGCCCCAAGGGGAAAATATTCCAGGTTTTCAAAGGCAACTTCTCAGAGTCGACAGAGCCTTACCTAAAGACAACCCTGCACTCTCCCTTCCCTACCCTGAGGAGCCCTTTCACAGACCACCCATTTCAGTCCCAGACCACAGCATCCAGTGATCCAAATGGAATGGGGCTGGCAAGAACTACACACTCAGACCCTTCTCCCCACCGCACCACCTTGGGAAGCCTTAGGGAAGCAGAGCGAGGGGATGGGACCGAGGTAGTAGTGCAGGAGGCAGATTTTGCCACCACAACTGCTGGACCATCAACTGATCCTGAAGCAGTGTCGGTGCCTTTTAAACCCACCCGCTATGGCATGTGGGATATGCTGAGCAAAAACAACTCTTGGGTAACCTTGAATCTCAGTACAAATGTCCCTCTGTTTGCTGGCTCTGGATCTGCTACAGCAGCAGCTGGTCACTCAGTTCAGACCAGTTTTGACGTCAGCATCTCGTCCTCGGCAGCGGGAGACCCTGAGGGACTGACTCCGACGCAGCACGGCGCGGTGACCAATGCCACATCGCCGGGCAATGCCCTCTCCTCAGTGCCTGCCACCAGGTTGTCCAGCTCCACCTCCACAGCTGGCTCCACTGCCACCGGGAACTTCCTGAACAGACTGGTTCCTGCCGGGACCTGGAAACCAGGTGTGCAAGGAAACATCTCCCATGTCACCGAGGGGGACAAACCCCAGCACAGAGCAACCATCTGTCTCAGCAAGATGGACATTGCCTGGATCATTCTGGCTATCAGCGTCCCTATATCCTCATGTTGTAAGTTAATTGCCACTTTATTTTGCTTTCCCTTTCCTTAATATTCAGATTTCGGCCCACAATTTAAGGGCTAGCTGGAGACCTAACAGAGGCAGGTCAGCTTAGGATGGGTGAGATGCACAGACATCACATCCACTGACCAAAGTGTTTAACTTCAAAATGCAGGACTCAGATGTTACAGTCAAAGCATACTTACTCTATTGCTATTAAAAATCTTATGGGGTAACTCTCCATTTGAGGGTGTAACACTACCCTGAACAACTCCAGAATGTGAAGCAGCTTTACTCCAAAGTGTATAAGACAGTGACCAAAAACTTGATCAAAGAGAGTGATTTTTTTCAAACTGTATTTTTTTTTTTATCTAGGAACTAGTATTTGCTGCCCTGAAATTGGATTTAAAAAGCCCACTGCTAACTCAAAGGAATAATAACATCTGTAATGACTAATAATTCAGGATACACCAGTTTTCCAGTGCAATAAAATATTTCATTGCAGGTAGTGCATGAACTATCCAATTTAAAAATCTGATGACCAAAGTGCTGGTTTCCTCCATTTTAATTCCAATTTACAGTTGCCAAGGGAAGAGAAACAAACCTTGGGCTTCAGACACCTCGAGTCAGCCACCTGCAGGACCAGGGCAGGCTGGGTTTCCAGAGCTGGCTCAGGGTCTTGTTGTTTGACTCAATTACAAAAAACACATGGAAAATTATAAGCAAGCTTGTGAATGCTTGCCAGGATGTCCGGTGCCTAGCTGGGTTTTATCAACTTGATGGGACAACATACTCTCTGGGGTCTCACTGTCATGGGGTGTGATTATTCTGAGCAGTCTGGAGTGAAACAAAACCAAATATTTCCCAGCCTTTGCTGCCTGAGGAAGCATAAAGGGGTATCAGCCAGCAATACTGAGTATTAATGCTGTTATTTATGGCTATGAGCTGCACTGATGATGCTGCTGAGGCAGGAGGGGAACAAAAAGACTCTGACTCCAAAGGCTGCTGAGAGTAAAACTCCAATTTTATTCAAAATCCATCGCTCTTTACACAGAGCTTCATGCAGACCAACACCATTAGTCCTGAAGTGAAAACAACCACACTATTGGTGCAGAGTACTTGATGCACAGTGATAGAACTTAACTATAAACAATGTGAACAAGAGAGATAAATAATTATTTACATTCTTTTCCAATAGATTCCCAGGCTTCTGCCTGGTTAGAAACTCTCCGTTTCTCTCTTTGACTGAATCTGAGACCCACACACTGAGGACAAGTCTAGATGAGCTACATGAGCCAGTCTCACACACAGCTTACTCCAGCCGAAAAGGACAGTGCTTCTCTCTCCTGCTCTTTCTCATGTGCAGGAACCTGATCCTGCCCCTCTCCTTCTGCCTGGGACTGACTTTTCACCTCCTTGAGACACTTTCAGATTGTTAAAGTGGCCAAGAATTATTCACTTTACTCTTTGGTACTTTTTATCCACCCAGAGAGCTGAATCAGCTCTCCACAGAGTCAGATGAGCATGAGACCCAGAAAGGATGAGGCTGCAGGAATGCAGACCTGGAGAGAGGACCATACTAATCCTTTCAGCAGCTGCAAATTATTGGATTGGGTCAGCATATTTGTTAGAGTCACACCTCTGGGAATATCAATTCTGCTATTGCCAAAGTGGTTAAAACCACAAGTGAGAACAAAGCTTAAGACTATAAAATGGGCAATCAAAGAGAAACCAAAGCAGAATTTGCATGTGTATTTCTGTGCAAGATGGAGAGGAGAAAGTGGGACTTAGCAAGCATGTGGTCAGAAGCAGCAATATTTGATGATTTGATGAAATATGCCTTGTCTGTCCATGATTAGAACTACACGATCAAATAAATTCTTCCAAGAATTACGTTTTGGGCCAATATCGAAAAAGACAGCTGAGCTGGATAGAAAGCATCTAAATGCAAAGTAAGAAGTGTAAAACCATACAGTACAAGCATGGGAGGTATAGCCAGTGGGTAAACTGGTCCGTGCATGCAGAGTGCCATAGATGAGGTGAATAATAATAACAGTAACAATAACAATAGTAATAATAATATGAGAAGTCTGATAGCAGGAGTGCTAACCTGTTCATTAAATAGAGGTGTTAGCACTTTTCTTCTTTTCATTTGTGCCATGTGTTCATGCGACTGCCTATTCTGGTTCTTGTGTTCATAAGCTACATAATTTTTTAAAAAGCCAAATGCTATTTTGAAAGTTATCTGTATTAGCTCTAATACAGTGTTTAAACGATTCAGGTATTTAAGTCCTGCTTTCAAGACCAGATTCCTGAGGATGGCCTTCATCGAGAGTCTCCCTTTAAAATCCGGGAATCCTCGGATGTATTTCAGAGTCGAAATGAACGGCAGACAGGCATTTCAATGGTGTTTTTGGGGGGCGGTCTGGCTTTAGTGCCTCGGAAATTGATTTTGTGCCGACGTTTCGCTGTGTGCAGCGCGCCGGGCAGCGGAGGGGCGCTTCGCCGTGAGCGCGGCGCGGGCTGTGCGGAGGGGACTGCCGCCACCTCCCGGCACAAGCGCTGAGCGGGACACACGCTCCTCTCCTCTGGCCCAGAGCGGGCTGACGCCGGGAGAAGGATGAACAACAGATATTTGGGGTTCCTTTCATCTTCAAACAGGGAAGAAGTTTTCCAAGAGATGCTCTCACAGTTGTTGTGGGCACGCATTGAGGAAAAAAATATTGTCGCGCTCCTGCCTTGGGATGCTGGAAGGCTTTAGAGACACAATCCCGTGCTCTTAAATGCCTGAGCTGCCTTAGGAGGGATCAAGCCACGAGGGAGGTCACTGAGGACCCCTGGCACGGGAGGTTACAGCTGGGGGCTGGTGGCTCTGCACTCAGGCTGGCACCTTCAGCACCAGGCAGAGAGACAGCCTCAAGGCAGAGGAGAAGTTAGCCACACACCCTGGAAAGACATGGAAAGAGGTGAGGAGAGGCAGCCCAGAGCCTGTGCAGGAGGCTGCAGAGCTGCAGGAATCTAATTAACTCATCTCCCTTGCCCTGCTAATGAGGGGTGCCCCTGAGCCGAGGCAGCTCGCTGACCTCCGGGCTGTTTACCCAGAGCCTTTGAAGAGCTGTGCAGTGTCCAGAGCATCTCTCCTCTGCCAGGAGCCCTTTGTCTTTCTATGTAATTTCTCCTCTGTATGAGGAGTTACAAGGAAGCTGGAAAAGGTTTCTTTGGAGGACTTCTGGGCACAGCTTCTGCTCCCCAAAAATCCTTGGAAGGGAAAACACATCACTATATTGCAAAGATGTCTCTGTCCCTCTCTGTTCCCTACATGCTGCTTGCTGTCACACCTTCTAGTGACAGGCACCTGTTACATGAAAACCTGTGGGCATTTGAGCTTCTATAGCAGAGGAAGTGACTTGCTAGAGAGCAACCACAGGAGCTTTTGGCTCTTCAGCCCCACTAGAAGAAGTGCTTGGGATGCTGCACTCATCCTCACAGAGTACAAACCCTGCTGGGGTTTCCTTGCTGGTCCATCCCTGCCATGGGGATTTGCACCAAAGAGCAGGATGGAGCAGAGTGTTTGTTCAGCATCGCTGTGCCCTGACTTCTGAGCCCCACTGAGGACTGGCAGGTCCCACCAGCTTTGCTGGTGGCACAGCTCAGGGGCTGTAACAGAAGCCTGAAGATCTGTGCCTTAAGAACTCCCCTGTTTAAATAAGAGCTGGAATTTAGCCTCCCACACTTACAATACATACTTCTTTACAGATGCACAGATTTCTGAGTCCCACTGAAATCCCCGACACTGCTAGCCAGAAGAGTAATGCTTTGAGTAGGAATCCACAAGCTATGTCTGCTGCATTAACCTAGGGAAATCATTTCACCTTTTGGCAGCTAAGTTTCATTATATAAATAATGAGAGTAATGTTGCTAATGCCATGGGAGGGCTGCAAAAATTAAGGATTCTGTATCATTCCCTTCCCAGAATAGCAAAATCATATATAACAGTGATGTCATTATTTTCTTCATGTCACAGTTTGAGCTGGGTTTGCAGTGTCCTTCAGGCAGCATTGAACATTTTTGTGCACGTGCTGTTGTACATGTGTAGGTGCCTCTGTCTGCAATGCAGAACAAGAATAATATGAGCTCATTTTAAAACCCACCATTCCAGTCCTTGGGCTCCTGGTCCTTGCGTCACTGTAACTACAGAATGACACAATAAAATGTGGAAGAACAGGAACTTGCAAATCAGATGCACAGAAGTCAATTTATCCAGTCAGTTCTGCTGACACAAGAGAACATGAGAGGAAGACTGAGCCTCTCAACACAGGCATCAGCAGAACTCAGAGAATATGTGAAGAATTGCCTTGGGCCTAACTCACTTAGCTCACATTTCATGCACTGGAACGCTTTCCAAAATTACCTCACTCACCTTCTCCATCACAAAACTTATGCTTGCTTTCCAGTCTGAAGCACGAGAGATCCCAAGCCCTGAGCCTGAGCCTGAGCCAGGTGTGAACTCAGGCTGCGCTGGAGTGACTCCTGTCTCCAGATGTAAGCAGCTGTAGTCAATAACCAAATCCATCCTGATACCTTTATCACAGCTAAGTATGTGCTGCTACATACAGGAAACCAGAGAAATAAAAAGAAATATGGAAAAAGCACTTCTGGTCATTGAGGGAAGGTTTCTTTAAACTTACTTTATGTTGATGTTGAAACTTACGTTTATGTTGATCTGCAGGTGTAGGGAGAAGTAATTGAAGATTTTTCACCCTGAATATTGCATGACTTTCAAGTGCTTACAATTTCAGATATGTTAACACTGTTTTGAAAGTGGGGGAAAGGAGTATGCAGCTGTGTGAGATTGATAAAATATTTCAGTGAGTTGAAGGGAAATAGAAAGCTGTAGGGAATTTGTATGATCTCATTATATGGCATTAGTGAAGCTGGGTTGAATGTGGTATACAATCATAGTGGGTTATATTTTTTTTTTTAATAAACCACTAGAATATTAGGAAGGAGACATGGAATTACTTAGGAGTGGAGAAATGCAGCATAATTCCACTTGTCCATGATGTAGCACAAAAAGAGGCTGAAGCCTACATATATAGGAGAGATTTCTGACAGCATGGTGGAAGTTTTTAATAAAATGGCAAAAGAACATGGAGAAAATGATGGTTGAAGGTGAAAGTATTTACACAAGAATAATGTAAGCATGTCCCCACAATAGAAATTAAACATCACAACAAAATCTGTGGGAATGGGATGGATATCTGGTCGCTCTGTATCCTTAAGTAAAGCTGAGTATTTTCCTATGAGATGTGCTGTATCTTAAGTACAGATCATGGTAAACGTGACGGGTGAAAGTCTCCTGGTGTGCAGGTGCTAGGTGGGTGACAGTAGGTGATGGACATGTTCCCACCAGCCTAGAACTCATAAATCTGTGAGAATCTTGTTTCTCCCCTTTGTGGGATGTTTTATGTCCTGTTTCATAGGTGGGGGAATAGATAATGCAGATGTAACTTGCCCTATGGCCAAAAAATGTCCGGTGTCAGAGCTGGAGCTCATCAGCAGCTCAGCCCCTTTACATGTGAAAAGACATGGGTTAGAAATGCATCCAGAATTTCTGAACCTCCAAAGACACCTGATATTTCCTAACATGTGTCACAGTCTCTGTACAAGGCAGGCTGACACAGGGACAACACTGATATGTCCTTCTCATTGCACTCACTGTTGACTTGAACATTGAGCAGTCAAAGGAAAGTTAGTTGAGATTTTCTGACTCACAGAAAGCAACCAGAGGATTGCTTAAAAACCAGGGAACAGTTAACCACATAATATACCAGGATAGATAAGCAGGGTGTTGCAGCTACTAGTTCTCTCTTCAGCTCTGTTGTTGTCATTACTGCCATTTGTGCCTTCCAAACCATCTCAGCCCTCTGTGTATTTCATTCACCTAATATGGCCTCCCTGGCCATCAGAGTTGTCTGTCTGGGAGAGTTTTTCTGATATACATGTAATTCTAGTCATGGGAACAAAAGTATATCTCAAAATATAAATGCTGTACCCTGGTCCTAGTATGCTGGAAGTGGGATGTCCTAAGCTGGCTACTTTAATTTCACTAAAATATGCCCCAAATATGGTATGTTATGTGGTAGATGTGGCGCTTAGTGCCATTGTTCAGTGGTATGTTAAGTTAATGGCAGTGTTCACTTAATGGTTGGACTCAACATTCCGAAAGGTCTTTTCCAACCTAAATGATTCTATGGTTCTATGAAAAGGGCAGTTAATATAAGATGAAGAGGAAATAGCCCCATTCCAGCTCTGCTGTCCTCACTCACTGTCTTAAATGAGATATCCTCTGCTTTGAACTGGGGCAGCATCCTTCTGCTGAAATACATATTTGGGGAAGCTCAGGAACACATTTTCCATGCTCTTCCATCCATTTTCTTGTGTGTGCACAATAGTTGGAGGCCAAGAGTGTAATTAAGAGAGGGAGAATTATTGCTGTATGTACTTACACGTGGCAAGGCCATTTCCTGATGGAAGAAGTTAAACCCCAAATTTGATACTTCTCTGTCAGCAGCCACAATATTTTATAAGCTGTAAAACCTCAGGCTTTCAAAAAAATATTTGCACAGAGTTGACTTTACTGGGGCTCTCACATCCTCAGGCACCTTCAGAAATACTCTGTGCCTTAGGGATGGATCTCTTGTTGCTGGAGTACTGAAAAGCTCCAGGACTCTTGGGTCTCACCAGCAGTAGTGAGGACTAAATGCAAGTTCTGCATCACTTTCTAATCTTCCCAAACCTGCAGGCTGGGCTGGGACATGGAGAGGGCAGCAGCCAAAGTAGGGATAAAAGGTGCAGCCCTTCAGGAGGAGAGGCATTTCCCCAGGCAGGGAGAGCAGTTCCGGGGGGCCATGAAGTGCAGCAGCAAGATTCAGACTATTGGGCTACGAGAAAATGAATTTGTTAGTGACAGAACTGCCTGAACTAAAAGACATTGTTTTTTGGATGGGTTTTTTTTTTTTTTTTTAATAGAGCTCTAGCCTTGAACTTTTGTGTTGCTAATTTCATGTGGTAGATGGGATAAGGAATTAGATCCATGGCACATGGATAGCTGCAATATTTGTCAAAAAATACATAGCAGCAGTGATCTCTCTGCAGTCTTTTCTTTCCTCTGAGTTATCATTCTAATACATAATTTTACCTGTAGCTGAGGAAATAATATATTTTTCTGCTTCATGAATATTTTCTCTTCTCTTCTACCATGAGGGATTTAAAAATGATAGAGGGAATTTACAGCAGGTATTTCCTATTTCACAGGTACAAGTACATATGCAGCTACCTGTCTGTATAAATCAGGTAGATTACAAACACAACGGGTCAATGAATTCCACAGGTGTAAAGGGAGCAGACAGAGCTCACACATTACAGCTCTGAGCAACCCTTGCACACGCCCCAGCTTGTGCCTGAGCAAGGTCCAGTGGGAGCAGTAATTCTGCTGCTGTGGCTTTGCCTGTCTCTTGTAAAGTTCCCAAGATTACCCATCTGAATGCCAACAGAGATGAATAAACTGAAAGCAATTCCAGAAAATAACACTCAGACTGCTTTTTGTTCAACTGCCTGCTGGGAGAGAATTACCTGGGCATTTCTGGGGCCCGGGGAGTCCTGTGGCCCTGGGACCAGACAGACTCCTGAACATCAGGAGTTCCACTTGCTAGTCACTTTGTCTTGCCTAACTGCTCTGCTTTAAGTTCAGATATTTCAGATTGTAAAAGCTTAAGTGTGCTCCACAGGTGAGAAGAAAAACCTCACTCTCAGACATGACCCAATGCCCAGACAAGTGCTGGGGAACAGGTTACCCTTATCAGTAGATTGCACAACCAATGGCTGACGGAGTAAAACCCCAGCTCTGGCATTAACACTATCCTGGAAGTGTAAGGTATGTGAGACTGGTGCCACAGGGGATCTCCACACCACCTTACACCTCTCTCATCCTACTCAGGAATCCTTCTGTTCTTCTGGCTGGTTGTTGCTGTATTGGAACATGGTCACAAACCAAAATCCAAGTTACAAATTGCAGACGAAAGAGGTAGGGATCAGTGGCACTTCAGGACAGAAGCTTTTGGTATTGAAGCCACACAACTGTGGCATTTATGATTTTTCTGTTTGAAATAGGACAGGTATCTCTCACTGCCCATTTGCTAATGTGCCCATCACTGCAGCCTCTGAACACACCAGATGCAGAAAAGATCCCCACAGAAGCATCTTAGTCCCTGAGGAATGCCCTCTCTCCTAGAGGGTCTGTAAATACCTGCTTAGGTATTGAATTGCCATCAGTTACAACAACAAAGCTTTTCGTTAATCAGGCAGCCGCATCTTGAAGATTATACACTCACATCAAAAAGAAAGTAAAAACTGCATATTCTGCCAAGCCCAAAGCCTCATCTGCTTGGCCGATTCTGACATAACTGTATAGGGTTTGTTAGCAGAGAGATGGGACTGACTGAGACTGAAGTATAGGAATGCAGGTCACCAGCCCTCTCCATAAGTAACAAAAAGTACAAATCCATGGTATTGATGAGTCCTTTTTTAAAGGAAGTAACCAGAGTTTTGACATGTTTCTATTGACAGCAGTTCTGCTGACAGTCTGCTGCATGAGAAGGAAGAAGAAGACCTCTAACCCAGAGAACAATCTGAGCTATTGGAATAATGCTATTACCATGGACTACTTCAACAGGCATGCTGTGGAGCTACCAAGAGAGATCCAGTCACTGGAGACTTCAGAGGTACCTCGCTTACAGAACTGGTGTCTGGAAACTGTCACTGATGCCATGCTGGGAGGAGGGGAGAGGAAGTCATATTAATAAAGCCTTGAAATCCCTACAGATGTTCAGGGGAACAGCTTTTAGGGAAGGACTCACTCCTACACATGTACTGGATGGGATAAACATCTCAGCAAAGCTGGATTGCCATCCTATTCCCAGCCACTGCAGATGTGTTCCCTATTGCTGCGTGGTGATGGGCGTTAACCACCTCTTGGTGAATTTGTTCTGGGTTTCTCTTCCTTGTGAGCCTATAGCCAATGTCAAGCCATGCCGTGACGTCTCAAGGAGAACCCTTTAGGCTGGCTCATTACTGACAGTCAGTCTACTGTACATGTGCCACACAGCATAAAAAAAGGAGGCTGCTGGAAGTTAATAAAACCAAGAAATTTTGTATGTTTATGTCTCAGGAGCTGCCTGCAAATTCTCAAATACCAGTTCAGGGAATGAGTGTTCCCATTACAAAAGTAATCAGAACATCAGTGTGTGGTGGAGAATGGTGGTGTGGTGTACATTCATCAGCCTTTACTTAAGAGATCTGACTGGTTTGGTGGGATTATTCACACATGAGCAGGTGATCCTACTGATAGAAATCTATTCCCTGGCTTCAGAGACAGAGAATAATTCAGTTTAGTTCAATTTTAATTTAAAGATAATTAAAACCTAGAAACAGTGGAGAGTCTGAGTTTATTCTAAAATGATTTTCAGATCAGCTAGCTGACTAGCTCGTGTGACTAAATTAAAAAAAAAAAAAAAAAAACGTTTAGAAAGGAACCTCTAAGATGTGATTAGACAGTCACAGTCACTTCATTAACCCCGCTTTGTTGGCAATCACGTTGCTTAAACTAAGGCAGGACCTGGTCTAGCTTGCCCAGAATCAAATGTCAGGCCTATTCACATACAGGATGGTCTTCAAAAGCTGTCTCATTTAAACCTGATCAGAATATGACTGAACTGGGGCATACTCAGGTGGACCCGTATGTGTGGCTTTCTAACTGTAAAAAGAAAGTGCAAATACATCTTTGAGGAGTCAAGTCCAGCTGAGAGATAGGAAACACTTGCAATGAGTCAATAAAGTGGGAAAAAAAAAAAAAAAAAAAGAAATGTGAAAGGTCCAAAGGGATTGGAAGTTTGGTGCAGTTGACTTCTAGGTCCCCAGGCTGAGAAAGAATCAGCAGACCCTCAGAGGAACTTTTCACTCACAGCTCCTCCTGCCTGACAAAGGGAAAAACCAACTCACCAAACCCAGCTCTCCAGAGTCACAGCCCACAACATTCAGGCACCTTTGGGGGATCGAGAGGAATGCCCTGTGTGCTCATGGAGGTTGAAGGGTGTGAAATGCTCAATCTGCTTCTTTCTTTTTCCCTTAGGACCACCTGTCGGAGCCGCGCTCCCCAGCCAACGGCGACTACCGCGACAGCGGGATGGTCCTGGTGAACCCCTTCTGTCAGGAAACGCTGTTTGTGGGACATGAGCAAGTCTCTGAAATATGACCCCCCCAGCTGCCCCCGTACTGCAGTTTCATCTCTACTGTCTCCAAATTATAAATAAATATATATATATTATAAATATAACCTTTGTGTAACCCTGAACTACAAGAAATGTTTTCAGCTTTTCTTTTGTCCCTCAGAATTGTCAGCCCCTTTTTTATAAGTGTGGTAAAACTTTACAGAACAAACTGTGGCTTTATAAAATAAAGGTATTTCTAAGCAAAACATCTCTCAAGTGGACTGTATCCTTTCTGTGACTCCAGTACTGCCTGAGCACCAACTGGGGTGAACCCTTTACTGTCCCGCGTCCAGTCTGAGCTCCAAAACTCTTTTATATGAACAACAACAAGAATGGGCCTTTTTTCCTGCGTGTTTTAATCACACTACACATTGGACACACAGCTGCTATACTTCAGCCCAATAAGCCTAGAATTATTTCCTGAAGATCAAACAGCCTCAAAAGAAGGCAGGTAGAGTGCTCCCTTCAAAAGAATAGAAAATTCCCTTCAATTTATCAAAAATCTTGCAATCTGGTGACTAGGGACTACCACCAATTGAATGCTGTGGCCTTGACCACATTTCCACTTCCCCACTGTTTTATTTATCTTGTGTGTTTAGGCTGTTGGTGCCACTGAATCAAGTTTCCTCATACCCTCTTCTCCTCTCTGGGACTTTCTTTCTCCCCTTACGAAGGAAAACACGGCATTTTGGAGCAAAATGGCAATTCTTTCCATGTTAAGAGCTAGATTGCAGACTCTAATAGTGTTAGGGGAATAGTAAGGATGAACAAAGCTTGAATGATGGATTAAAAATAGGTTGCTGCAAGGCAAGATTAAGACGGAACATGGAATGGCTTGGACCAAATCAATGCTCTCTCTTTGAGTAATCCAGAACTGTTACTATGGGACCAATTCTCAGTTTTGCTTCTCAAAATGCTTTTTTATATCATTCAGCAAGTGAAATGACTCCTGTCCTTTGAGGTCTTGTCCTCCTTCTCCTCACCTCTGGCCACCAGTTCTGCTAGACAATTTTCTGCCTTCACTCCTCACTTCATCAGGAGCAGGCTGTGAGGGTCACTTCAGCCACTGCTCCAGCTGGCTGCTCCTTGCCACTGGCTGCTCAGGTTTAATGCTTGGCTGCATGAAAGGGAAGTTGGAGCAGGACAGGGTTAGTACAGCATCATTAACCATATGCCTTGTTCAAGGTGAGGCACAGCTGCTACTAGAAAAGAGACTTACAGCAGTGGCACATCTGGTCCAGCTGTTCCCACTTGCCGCCAGGGTCCCAGTGACTGTCAAGCAACATGACAACTTTACTAAATGATGGTTGGAATCAGACCCAGACTTGGCTCAGAGGGACACAGAGGCCTCATTGCTCCTCCTTTTTCCCCATCCCATACATGCACTTCTGCTGTGCCAAGGGACAAACCTGAATGTGGACTACAGGCTTCTGGAAACTGGAAGATTTTAATGTTACAGGGACTCTCCTGGATATTTGTTTCTCTGCTCAGCATCAGAGAGTAATGCAGGGCTTTCTCATGATGTGATGGGGCAGGCAGGATGACAGGACTGTGTATGAACATGGATGGGCACTTAGGGAACGTATCTTTTCACCATGGGATAAATGCTATGCAATACGATACCTGTGATCCTCATGATCAATTACTAAATAACCTCCTAGAAACCACTGTTTGATAGAAGAGTAAAAATTTCTTGAGGGTGTTGCCAAGAGCAAAAGCAATCCCACAAGGATCTTTGTTTTTATTTAAAGAGGGAGGTGGACAGAGAGAACAAGGTTACAGAAAACTAAATTAATTTCTTTGAAAAAAGAGTCCATGTTATTACATTTGTTTTCTGTAGATGGTATTACTTTTGCAAGGGAGATTTTCTAATTTGACACAGAACAACTACACTGAAAATACTGTATAAGAAATACTGGAGGATGCTTCCCACTTAAGCAGAAGTTTGCTTGGTAATCTAAAGGCAGAATACCTAAACTAGGCAAAAGTATTTGCAAAGCTGAGAGATACTGTGCTGTTCCCAGTCTTCACACAACCTGGAAATGGTGACCTGACTTTAAGCAGCCTTGAAAGTCTCCAACTTAAAAAAAAAAAAAAAAACAAGCAAAATAAACTCAGCTGCCAACCCGGTGAGCCAGGATTAGGCACCAGTGGAAGACAGGGATTTCTGATTGTATCCTGTCTCGCCAAAGACTCACCACTGCCCCTGCACAAACCTACACTGCATTAGGGTAATGCCCAACATCAGCACATTACAATCGTGCCTACAAAGATGCACACATGGTGATCCTACACTGGGACAGCATCCTGGCTGTGAAGTATCCCTGTGTGTAGGTAGTAAAAGCCAGACCTTACATTGTGTTGTGAAGGATTGCACTGTATCAGGAACACATCCTACTTATCACTTATTATTACCTATAAACCCACCTGATCACTAGTAGCTAAAGAATAGTGACATAAAAAGAAGAGCAGGGGAAATATCCCTCTTTCCTTGCAATAAGTCTCTAGGATTGTTTTGCCCTTTTAACTCACAGTTGCCTCACTTTGTCACCAGTTACACAGGCAAAGAATGGAAACATGCCCTTGCTGAGCAGACAAAGTGCAATTGATTATGTGAAGTTAAACTGACTGAGAAGGGGATGGACATGAGGGTGCTTGTCCCTATAAAATCTGCTGAGATTGTGTCAATATCCCTTGGGTGGGTGGTGAAGCCAAATTGCAGAGAAACCCAGAAGCTGCAGAAGACCCAGTGGAACATTCAATGCTCTACAGTGGCAAAAGGCTGGCTCGACGCTGCTCAGCTGTGGTCCAGTTGACTTCACGGAGGTTTGGGTTTTGCTAAGTTAGGAAACATCTTGCTGATGTAGACTATGTCTGGAGCAAGCAGCAGTGTGAGAAGCAGACGCATTTGTAGTGTATAACTGGATACCTGTGGCTGTAAGGGAAGGAAATCATCCGAGTGTCAGCGCAGAAAACACTGCTGGTATTTTAACACGTACATTGTACTGAATCCCCGTCCCGCTGTCCCTGTAAACACCATTGTGCTTTTCATCTACCATATTTGCAGCAGCAGCAGCAGGGAGATTTCGCCTGAAATGGGATTGCTGACCCAGCAGCCGCCCGGACAATGGGACGGGTGCTCCCAGGCGGCACAAAGCCCCCCTTCCAGAAAGCCGTCGCACAAAGCCGAAATCCCAGGCGAGCCCCAACCTGCTGGGCTCGGCACATCGCTGCCGCCAGTGCGGGGCCAGGCGGCCGGGCTGAGCGGCGGTGCTCGGCAGGCTGGAGCGACAGCATGCCCTTGCCGAGGCGCCGGTCCTCCTTCCTGGGGCAGCAGCCCTCCACCTCCACGGCGGAGAGCTCGGGGCCGCCCGGCCGCCGGGTGAGCGTCGGAGGCGGAGGGAGCCTGTCCAGACCCCCCGGCGTCTACGTGGGCACCGTTCCCACCGGCGGCGTCAGCAGCCTGGGCACCCGAGTGTCCCGTAGGGCCCTGGGCATCAGCAGCGTCTTCCTCCAGGGCCTCCGCAGCTCCGCCGCCGCCGTGCCCCTGGCCCCGGGGCTGGATAAGGGCAGGGGTCTCTCCTACGAAAGCCTGAATGGCTGCTTGGTGGAGTACATCGAGAAGGTGCGAGCCCTCGAGCAGGTCAACCAGGAGCTGGAGGAGCACATCAGAGTCTACCTGGACAAGAAGGCGGCCAGCGTGGGCAGCTGGGGAGCGCTGCGGGAGAACTGGGAGGCGATTTACCACCAGGTGAGCGCGGAGCGCCGCCGGCAGCCGGCGGGGCGGGAGGGAGGGAGCTGCCGGGTCATCAGCAGCTCCGGGCGGCCAGGGACCAGGCTGCCCATCAATGCCGTCTGATTCCAAGGCGAGGAGCCTAGACAGAGGGTTTAAAATCTATCTTCATCATAATTAGCATTATTATGCCTATTAAGCGGGAAAATTGCCTCAGGCGTCATGTGCATGGGAGCGATTGAGATACACCCCAAGGCGCCGAAGTCTGGGCTGATTAGAACGGGTGGGGTTTTTTCCTTTTTTTTTTTTTTTTTTTTTTTTTTTTTTTTTTTTTAATTTTATGTCTGTGATTATTACACTGAGTATCAAAATTATTGAAAGAAACCTGCTAGGACTGAATTAGGTTATCTCTCAACATGATAATACAAGCACGTTGAGGGGTTTTGTTTTTTAATCAGCAATTCAGATTTTTACTTCATTCCCTTGTTGGCTTAATAACATTTTCAAAAGCTCTATTTATTTAAAAATAGCAATTACATTGCTACAAATGAGTGACTTCCTTCCTTTCCTTTGCCATCATCCCCACCATCCCTCACTCCCACCTTCTCCATACGGCACAAATCTTTATTGCAAAATAGTGTCTGTGTTGACCTCATGGACAAGAAGAATTTAATTTTGCTGGCCAGTAAGGCCTCGCAGGCTGATGTCCCGCTTGCAGCAAACACAAGGCTCTGTCTGCTGAGGTCTTGGTGTACCACACAAGCCTGGCTTCCCAGCTCCCATCCAGCGGGAGCAGATAGGATTCCATAGACCTGGAATCTGGCATCTCATACACCTCTCCCAGCAGCGCCTGTGTAGGCACAGAAAATGCCATCACTGGGTCTTCACAAAGCCTGAAAGCCAACTTTAAGTTGCCTGGAACAATTGTGTGTTTTAACTTGGGCTGGCCAGTTTTACCTTGCAGTTTTAGAGCAGGTGTTCTCCCAGAACACTACAGACATTGCTTGAACCCTGTATGTGTTGGCATAAGCTGTTGTACAAAGATCATGTCAGCAGAAACACCCAGTTAAGCACCAGCTTTTAAAGTTGCTATTGGTAAATGACATTATTGCTTCCGGAAGGGAGCAGCTGCTGAAGTAAAGGGGTGCTCTGAATCTGGGGTACAAAAAGCCATCTTCTTGAACCTACTACCTCACTGGGGAAGATGGGGACTTTGACGGGAGACGGGGAGTCAATCCTTTGCAGCTGCCATCCCATGTTCTCCAGACCAGTGTCGCATTTCGTAGTTGTAGACTTCACCTGTAAATCCTAGCAGGATTTATGGTTAGGCTCAAATAGGTGGGACCATAGGAAACGACCATTTAGGAAGGACTGTTTGATTTTTCATTACATAAACCCCCAATCTTGCAATGCAGATGAACCTGCAAATGTATTAAGTTTTCATCCAAATTGATTTCCTTTCAACCTTCCTTT